GGATCTGCATTGACAACAGGCTTCACTGTCCGATCCACTGGACCCAATCGAGCCACTATACTATGGCATAGATAAGTCGCTAACTCTCGACCATCTTCGGTTTGCCCCATCCATCTAGCCCAGGATGACTGAGTACAGAGGACCGTGGCAAGGCGATAAAGAGCCGAATGCACAGCTGGACTGTAACCCACAAGACAGCGACCATCTGCAGAGGTATGTCGTGCAATATGCTTATAAATATGACGAGAGACAACAGTCCACAAATCCGTCGGGGCCAATAATTTTCGAAGTCGTAACAAATGCGAACTGTCATCTGGGAGGTAGGAAAAATCATCCACTAGTGAAGTAATAAATCGGAGACACGCTGCTCTTTGGAGAATCAAATGATTTTCGAGGTCAGAATTCACTGGAGGTTCTGGCGATTTGATTTCCGTCGTTCGCTTCTCCTTTTGCCCCTTACTTTTGGAGGTCGTATCTTCTACAGTCGGGGCAGATGAGGTGAATTCCTCGGATATCTTGTTCTCGACCAAATCGAGAATCTGTCGTGCACACACTCGGTAGGCTTCTAATCGCTTGGGACCGGGAAATGTGGTCTTTATACCTTGATTGGCAAGCGTCCCTGCGGGCTCGTGGACATCCACTGTGCTGAATGCCCAAACAGGAAAAATCTGTGGGGTAAGATAAAAAGCAGATGAAATTGATTTCATCATGCGTGATATAATGCTTGAACAGGTGAGAACATTGAGAAGGATGTACAACGCATGTTAAATAAACGGGTAATGGGATTACAGTAAACAAAAGTCTGCAGACCCTGTAGAGGAAATCACTGGGGCACTAACCACTACCGCGGTAAGGGTCTTTATGTCGATCTCAGAGAGCCGAAAATTATTCTGGTTTGCGGATAAACTACTGTCATTTTATTTAAAGCATTTGCTTTTTGAAAAGGGGAAATCTAACTCAGAAGCATCGACATTAAAAATACAATTTAACTTACCTCTTAACTCTGTTCAGCAACTGTAAACCAAATTGTGAACAAAAATCATGTCTAGTATATTAAGTGAGGTACGACCGCTTGAAACCTGCACATCGCCTAATCCAGTGTGAAGTGTTTGATTCCAGTCAGCATGACAGCTTTTATTTGAATCCGAAGCTTTTGGGGTTCAAAACTGACTGTTACCGAAATCGACATGTGGAAAATCTTATAACGATTATTCTCATTACCCTCACCATATAGCAAAGTGAACTGCTGCCAGGCCTATAACTTGGACGAAGTAAGCACAAAACTGTAAGATGGATGGAGAGTGGGTATATTATCATGGAGAAGGAAAGAATGTGCTACTACGATCAACAAAGAGTACAGTGTAATTTTGCAAAAACACGTCTTCAGGAATTCCGGCCTGACAAGATATGATAACAGGAAAGTCACGGTTGTCAAATTCTAGTAAGTCTTTGAGTGATTTGGTGACAGACTGTCTATTGGAAGGGTTTGGTGCTTAACCCCAGATGGATTAGCGGATATGCACTATTGACAACCTCTAATTAGAGCAAAGGTTGGGAATTGCGCACTGTGAGACTATTCAGAGAAAGTGATCTAAAACTGAATAGTATCAGCATATATTTACACTCATTGCTCACCTGTTTAATGTAAGGACCCAATTCACGATGTACTCTATCAGCAACTCCACACATTGCTGACTGAACAAGTTCACGAACTTTGCGGTTCTCGTCAAACGCAAGGCGGCAATAGATTCTGGGCCAGAAGGGCAGGACAGCAACAATAGCGGAAGTTTCCAACGGTGCTGCATCGCCTGATGTGCTCAGTTTCAGTAATTCGACCAATTCCTTCAGGGCTTTTTGCTTTGTGACTGCATCCCTTTTTTCCAAACGTTTGAGGGTGCTCAAAAGCCTCGGTTCTAATCCAGCCGCATCGGGATCTTGTGGAACTGGGACTAGACCGGGGACTTTTGTCGGCGCGATGGACTCTGTCGGTTCTGTTGATACAGAAGACAGCGGAATAGTTGTAACCAAATCAATGGGAAACAGTGTAGAAGGTAGACCAAGACCACCGGTTTGTTGAATAAGAAATTGGGCTGCCTTTTGACTGCTGGACGGCTTCATGTTGTCCTTGGTACGTGGTTGAGCAGCTGCTCCTTTCTTTTTGCCACCCATGACGAATTCCAGATATTATTTACAAGCCGTAATAAATAATTTTCCTGAAAAGTAAATGAATGTTATGGTCGTGTCTGTAGAGTACATTGCTTAATAGTGCCTTTAAAAATAGCAAAACCAAGTCAATACTGTAGAAGGCAAATGAATACATTACAATTTTTAACTGAAACTTCAGCATATTAAGATAGTAAAGGTTATACAAATACAAATAAAATAATGGTGAGAAAAAGCCCACATGTTTCTTATCGCGTCTATGTAACAGAAGTCCGTGGGACTCAACTCGGAATTTTTCCACCAGATAATGAGGTGATACAGGAAATATAGGAATACCGAATAATACACATGGGGATGGGAGAACTTTGGTGATGGCACAGTTGATTGTGATTCGAAACTGATAGGACTCTCTGATCGAAGAAAATGTATCGTGGATATTGAGGAGATTGACAAACAAAACCCCCAAGCATAGTAGAAGCAAACTTTAAAAAAACGCTTCATTGTAGTGATGGTGCAAGAATAAAGAAGCAACCGTGGGACCATAAGTAAGATCACATTTCTATTACAATGATAAACAACAGTTGCTATGATACGGATTGTCAAGACAACTCATACAAACGGAGGGTCAATCTTGGGATTATGCTGCTAATTATTCTTATAAACGTCTGGCGATGAAGTTCTTGTTAGGACTAGAGGCTTTGGACGAGAACCCTAATCGTTCTCTTCCGTAGTATTTAGTTTCAGTGCGTATAAGCACTAATCAGCCACTTTCGTGTGCCCGTTTTGGTTGTTGTCTTTTGGCTGCCCACTTGGATAAAGGAATAGACAATATAATTGAAAGATGAGTCGAAGAGGAAATCGAGAATTTCAGTAGACAACGGTTGCAAAGAAAGTGAAACGATGCGCAAGTGCTACTGTTTGTGATACTCAGTCATATCATTCAGTTTATCTAATCATTGATTACAATGATCCCGAGGTCTCTGTCTGGGGGGCCAAAAGTATAGTGACTAACCAAATCCCATTCTACATGTACCCTTCCTCCTGTGCAATTCATTGTTTTATCACACCAGGGCCACCTCTTTGGTCAGCACGTTTGCTTCCACTTTCCGCACGCTTACTCACGCTTCCGTATCTCTCTCTCTCTTGCTCTGCAGGTCGTAACAATACAACCCGTCCTTCGTTTCGTGGATCGTCTCGTTCTGTTTTCGTACGAACGTTTGTTTGCGACATATATGTATCAGTTCCGGGGTATCGAAAAGCCAGTGCCTACAGACGCGATCTATATGACCGAGTCTCCCGGTTACGGTTTTCACACTCTCATATCAGGTCTTAGTTTGACCACCCCTGACATTTTTCCACCCACTACCTGCCTCGGCAAACAGTGCACCATGGCAATCTATTTGATGGCATGTCCCAACCAACGTAATCTATGAAGCTCAACCACTTGCTCCAGCGGGTGACCGCGGTTACTTCAAACTGCCCAACCTTAGCACTGCTCCTCCGGTTACTCCATCAGGCTCCTACAATGCTGCTTAGACAGTGGTGTTTAAACACTTTAGGAAACTTGGTTTACGACTCTCCCCGGAGGCAGTTGCCGCATCATTCGTTGGAGCGCGTGTTTAGACTGATAAATCTTTATTGCATTTCTTTTTAGGGTTTAGCTCTGGATATGCACATTGTCTGTCGTCACCATTAAAGGGGTGTGCTTGACATATGCAGTTCTCACGTGCAGCACAATAAATCGATGTGGAATATGTGATGGGGACACTTTCAATGAAACTGGTAGTGCATATAATACAGTGGGG